TATTAAAAAGCAGAGACATTACTTTGCCAACAAAGGTCCTTAGAGTCAAGGCTATGGTTTTTCCAGTAGTCATGTGTGGTTGGACTATAAAGAAAGCTGAGCACCGAAGAATTGATGGTTTTGAACTGTGGTGTTGAAGAAGACTCTTGAGAGTCCCTTGGACTGCAAGGACATCCAACCAGTCCATCCCAAAGGAGATCAGTCCTGGGTGTTCATTGGAAGGACTGATGTTGAAGTTGAAACTCCAATACTTTGGCCACCTGATGCGAAGAACTGACTCATTTGAAAAGACCCTGATGCTGGAAAGACTGAGGGCAGGAGGAGAAGGGGATGCAGAGGATGAGATGGTTGGATGGCATCACTGACTCAATGGACATGGCTTTGGGTAGACTCTAGCAGTTGACAGGGATGCCTAGCGTGCTGCGGTTCATGGGGTCGCAAAGAGTCGGACACGACTGAGCGACTGAACTGAACTGAACTGAATGCAGGAGACACAAGAGATGTGGGTTTGATCCCTGGGTTGGGAAGATCCCCTGTAGTAGGAAATGGCAACCCACTCCAGTATTCTTGCCTGGAGAATTTCACAGACAGAGAATTTCACGGGCAGGCTACGGTTTATCAGGTTGTAAAGAGTTTGACACAACTGAGTGCATGTGCATTGCATATGTGCACACACACACACACACACACACACACACACACAAACAAGTATATTAATGTATACTTGTATATATATACAAGTATATATAAAATATTTAATATGCTCATCTAATTAGAATCACCTATTAATAGGAAGCTTTTTTTAAAACTAGAGGCCTACACAGAATAATTAAAAGTCAGTCTCTGGGAGTAGGCCCAGTCATGGTATCTTCGCCAAGGCCCCCAAGTGGTTCTGATGGGCAATCTGGGTTAGAATCACTGATCTAACTCTTCCTGGCCTGCTCTCTTTGTACTATTGGGCTTAAACTGCTGATTCTTTTAAGAACCTGTCTGCAAAGAGACCTGCAGATCTAAGACGGCATGGAGGTGCATAGCTAGAAGAACCATCTGTTTTGATGTGTTGGGGATAGTCTCAACATAAGTGATTATCAGTGCCCCCATTTCACTCTCAGAAGTACTGTAGTTTGGAAGATAAATTATATGTTCTTCCAACATATTACAAAAGGGCTCTGGGCTTTATATTTCTAGATTATAAAGTCATAATAAGAACAGGTAGAAGAAAGCATCAGAAGAATTCAATGCAGAAACTTCTGGTGCTTACATATTAGCTTTTAAAATAGTCTATGTACAGCTTATCAGAAATACATACATACATTCCCTCAATTTGTAAGGACGGTTAGAGAAAATCTGTCTCCTTCCAGTGACTAGGTGGGGTGGGGCATGGTTACATTCTGCAATTAAAGTACCAAAGCCAGCTGCTGATTAGTAGGGAACTGATTATCAACCTGTGATTACCCCAGGCTTTAGCAAAACTTCTCCTTCCTTTTCCTTTTGGATCTTTTATTATTCATTAGTTACTCCACCCTCAGGTTCAAAGGGACAAGGAAAGAAGTTTAAAAAAAACGCTTAATATAGTGGCCCTGATAATAAACTTGATGGGAAAGAAAATGGAAACAATTGGACTGTTTCTGGTTACCTGTGAATTTAGATTATTTTGGCTCATCCCTTTTTCCAAATTATTCCCAGCTGGTGTGAGGGCTCACTGAAGCCCTACTGATTGCCAGTAAAATTAAAGTAATCTTATATTTTTAAAACTATGTAATCTTTCAGAAACAGGACTTGGAAGCTTTCCCTCCTAATTTACCAAGGACACAGGGTAAGGGCAAGGCAAGTACCTTCTCATCTCATCAGAGCCCTCCCCACCTCCTTCTCCCCTCACTATCAATCCACAAGTGTATGTAAATAGAATTTTTTAATCTTGTGTAGATAAGAGATTATTTTACACAACTTAAGACAAATGGTATAATTACTGTTAGACAAAAGGACCCACATGGAAAATCTACACACAGGAGTAGAGACTTATGTGCATATAGATTGTATCACAAGTTTTCCTAGTTGCATCACCAGGATAGTTATGAATACTTCCACAAGGCAACCACAGCATAAATGTTTAAAACATGTTCTGTTCACATGTGTTTAAAATGTATGGAAAAGAAACTATCCATATGCAAAGTAAAAGAGCCAGATGCTCATAAGCTAGTTAAAGGGAACTCCTTGCATGTGCCCTTAGTTGTGTTCAACTCTTTGCAGCCCCATGGACTGGAGCCTGACAGGCTTCTCTGTCCATGGAATTTTCCAAGCAAGAATACTGGAGTAGGTTGCCATTTCTTACTCCAGGGGATCTTCCCAACCCAGTGGTCCAACCTGTGTCTTTTGCGTCTCTTGTGCAAACAGGAGGAGTTTTTTTTTTTTTTCCACCACCATGCCGCCTGTGAAGAACTCTTGTTGAATAACAACAATAAGGGAATCTTCTTATTAAATAACTTAAATGGAGATAGTATTAAATTAGGGTGGGTAAAACATCAAAATAAATACCTGTTGAATTAGAATAAGAGTATCAATAGAACCTCTGTAGATTAGAGAGTTACTTTTATAGGCTTCTGAGTGCAAGGAGGGGGCAGGTGGGGGCATCTGTTCTCTGCTTTCCAGGCTCTAAGTCAGAACAAGCTAGAAGGATGTAAGAGGTCTCTGTGACTGAGAAAGCATCACAAGCTGGTGTTGTCTGGCCAACCCTGGACCAGTAATCATCTTAGCAGCTGGAGCAGAAGGTCTTGTCTTTGATATCTGTTAACAGTTAACTGCAGGCTTTTCCTTCCAGAGCTCTTGGAAAGCAGAGGCAAGTGGTCCTGGAAAGCAATGCTGGAAGGGGGCCCCCAGTGGTTAAACTTAGACGCCGAGGGACAGGTCAGCAGTAATTGAGCCAGGCAGGCCTGCAGAGAAACGGTGCTTCCTTTTCCTTAGGGGATTAGATGTCTTTTAAAATCTACTCTACATTTTATCTTGACTGAACTGTATCATGTAAAATGCCTGAAGCTGATGAGTCAATGAAGTCTGCTGTTTGAATATGGAAATCTATTTTTAAGCTAAAATGTTTAGCTAGATTGTAAGTTAGACATTCTGAGGCCCATCTAGCAAGGACTGAGAAAACCCTCACTTACGATTAGAAAGGGAAATAACAGCAGTCATCAGAAGAAGAGCCATATCAATGAAGGGGTTTCTGAGTCATTCAAAATGGCAAACTTTTTAAACCAATGGAATGGATAATAACATAGCCATGGCAACTGTAACCAGCATTATTTATGTTTTTTTTCTTCTTTTACCCACAGACTGATGTAGACATTTACCACAGTCCTCTAGCAGCAGGCCTGTGATGACTTTCAGCTTCAAAGGAAGCCTAAAAAAACTAACACCACTTGGCTTTGTGGGACTACCTCAGAGAGACACTCATATGTGCATAGGATTTTTTACACATGTCTAATGGCCTAGACATCATACTTCTGCACTTGGTGCAGAGATAAATAAAAATAAGCAAACATCATAACCACTTACCCCATGCAAATAGGGAAAAGAATGTTGAGAAAAAATAGCCTTGAGTCAGAGTGAGTCAGAGTTGGTGACGCCAGGAATATCATTCCTCACCCGGTACATAGCTCTGGACTTTCAGGCCCTCGCTTTAATCTCATTTTCCAACATGAGATGTAGAAGAGTTTTATATGGAATTTTTATACAGCCTCCAATTCTTGCATGATTAGGTACTATCTTGCATGAAAAGTACTCACTAACAAATTATGTTGGCAGACTGTGGCACATCCCTGCATGAAAAGTCTGGGATCTTGAGAAGGAAAGGCCAGAGTCTTAATGCTGGCCCTGTGCTCTCCCTTTCAAACTCTCAATGATCCTAACAATAGCTCTTGGTCTCCTGCTTTAGATAATTTTACTCCAGACAGATCTACTGGTTACAGGGTCAGGTGTAAGAATCTATGGTATCATTTTTACCAAATTCTTTGAGATTCTCCAAAGAAAGAGGCAATTTTTTTTAAAATTAAAAACCACTAAATTACTGACAAGGAAAGATAACCCTTCCTGGTATTTCACTCCTTCCAGGGCACAAATTTGGCAAATTACAACTGAAAGTTCTGGGCAACACTAAACTGAGAAGCAATGAGTTTTTCTTTGTTCCTCTCCTTCTGCACAGAAGAAGCGCTGCAGGGGGAACCAGTGTTTTCAATGCAAGGAAACATCTCATCGAAGATTCTGCCTCAAAACCCAGGTTAAACTAAAGATCAAGGCAGGGAGGGACAGCCTGCAGTGTGGCTGCAAGTACCCAACATTAGAGTGGGGGTTTTCTGGTATTACTTAATGTTGCCTGGAGCTTTAACAAATTTGGGAGTGGGATACGGTTGTGCTGTTGCTCTTCTAAATGAGTTTTTAATTTGCCCTTTTTGGACAACTTGAGAGGGCTCTGCTAAACTCAAGCCAGCCCAGCTTTGTCAGTGTCCTCCCTGAACTTTAAATTCAGAGCAGCCCTGGGCCCTCTTCTCATGCCGGGCCAGGCAGCGACCTCAGGAAGTCCAGGCTAGCACCTGTACTGGCACCTCAAGGTCACCATCCAACTCGGAGCTTTCCAAACACTTGGGAACTGATCATTTAAATGAGTATAGTCAAGGCTCTGAGGAGTTGGATCAGCTTGACTAACTCAAAATTTCCTCAACTTATCTTTACAAGGTGCCTCTCTTGAGGTCACTACAGTCCAAAAACTACAGGACAGCAAGTAGTTTGGGAAATGCTGTTCTAAACCCATAGATGCTTGAGAGCAATTTTTCTGTTTCAAACACTGCAATGAAAGAGTTAAATTTACTTAGAGTCATTCTAAGTGTGCCTTTGGCTGCAGCTATCCATATGCCTTTCTAAATCTCCCCCACTAAAGGCCCACAGGAGCTCCTGAAATTTTCTGTGAGTGTAAGATACACTGTGCTGAGAACACAGCTCTGTTGTGTTACCTGCGGCTCCTGGTCATGGCCGCTGGGATCCCTCTCGTAGCTTTCTGCATACAGTCTGATGGTGGCCCGCACGCCACTGGAGGAACTGAGGCGGAAGATGAGCCGAGATGCATCAGAGAAAATGATCCTCAGGCCCTGAGAGCAAGAACACCAAGGATGGATCAGTGAACAAATAAACATACATGTAAAAATGATCAATACTGGCTTTGGAGATTAGCATAGCTCTATGCTCCAAAGATGCTCAGCAGCATGACAACTCATAACTGGCTCTCTACACTCACTCCAGCGGGACAGTGAGGTAAATCCAGATGCTCCCTGAGGTTATCTATCATCTCTATTCTGTTTCTGTTGCTTTCTGGTGAATGTTGGGGAGGGTGGGATTAGGAAAAACACTATGGACAGATGCTCAAGCTCCCTTGGTCTGGCAATGTGGAAATCAGAAAGACGTGGAGGTAACAAGGATGGGGTGATATTTAATGAGTGTCACTGGAGCCAAAGTTTGTCTCTTTGGAACCTGCTGGATGCAATCAGGTAGGTCATTTATCTGTTACAGTGAGACAAATTATCCACATCAAAGCTATCCCCATGTGATGTCAGACTTGGCTTTAACTTCACCTCCTCTCTGTTTCTGCCCACGTTCCCACACTTCTCTGGGAGCTATGAAGTCCTACAATGAAACGCTCAGGGCTGGAGCTTTTGCGGGGTTTTGAGGGTTTCTGTGTACAGCCTCATCCTCTTGGTTCTCTTTTTCCTTCTTGCTCGTAAGACCTGGCCATCAGTGTGTGGTGCGGGCAGAGCTGCAGCAGTATCTCACACACTGACCACTATTTGACTTTGGCTCAGAACAGCATCCATTCTCTATGCATCTCTTATTAGTGGCAGCAACATTTTAAAAAATATGACTGAGATCACATTGTGACTTCTGTTGAAGGAAATTTGTTTTCTTAAGACAACTGATAAAGTTATTGTTATAAATAAACATATTGACTGGGGCCAGAGGAAAGATAGGCAGGAACAAAATAATATGTCTGGTTGCTTGTTGATTCTGAAAAAGTAGAAGTTTCAGGCAAATTGATAGCAGACATTTTCCCTAAGAAATTTACTTGGAAACTTCTCTGGCCTCAAATCCTGCTTGTCAAGAATAAGCCATTATTAAAAATATTCATACATGCCACATGAACCTGATTGCTAATCTCTTACCCCTACCCTGATCTGGTGATATCGCTGGGAAACACTGTGATTCCATTTGAGCAGTTTTCTGTTTTTTAAGTTTTGCAAGCATATTTTGTTCCAATTGCAAAATAAAAAGCTTAGTCTCTTTTTGAGTGGTTCAATGTCTGCCACAATTTGTGTAATAACAAGGAGCCATGTCCCTTCCTGGATGTGCCTTCAATTGCTCTGTGGCACAAGTTTTGCAGACATGATAGTTTTGCCCAGAAGTCATTCATGGGCATGCATTTTACAGTGACCCTCGTAGATCTGGTACAGGGCTAAGCCCTGGGTATATGACAATAAAGACAGTATGTGCTCTCCATGAGCCTAAAATATTCTATTACAATGAGCAAAACTATTTTCTTAACCACCTTGTGTTGCTGGATAAGTGAATAGTTAGGAAATTCCGAATGGAGCAAACAAACCAATTTCTCTGCTATCCAGAAAGTATGATATACCAAATTCTGTATAGATTGACAATGAAACCCCAAAGGTTGGTTCCACCATTGAATTCACAGCCATGTTTTTAAAAACTTCAAAGCTGAAGCCCTAAAGCTCCTTTTGTTGCAGATGCTAAATGAGTTGAAGCCAGCTCTTCTAATGACCTCCTGGACTTAACCCTTTAAGGTAGCTCCATTACACAATTAACCTCCCAATTTAGTTTATGGCCATTGTTGTTGTTGTTCAGTTGCTGTCTTGTCCAACTCTTTGTGAGCCTCTGGACTATAGCATGCCAGGCTTCCCTGTCCTTTGCTCTCTTCTGGAGTTTGCTCAAATTCATGTCCACTGAGTTGGCAATGCCATCAAATCATCTCATACTTTGCTGGCCCCTTCTCCTTTTGTCTTCCATCTTTCCCAGCATCAGAGGATATTTAAGAATTCAGGCCATGATAAACCATCAACATGGTTTATTATCTGCTCATAGCTAAGTCCTTTTTTATTATCTGCTCATAGCTAAGTCCTTTTTTACAGTGAAATGATGTTTCTTCTGTTGTTGTTTGGTAGGTTTTTCCCCTGTGTGTAGCCATATATTTGGCTATACTCATGAAAGTTTGGTTAGAATGTACATTGGGTAGCTTGAAATAGATTTTGCACTTGAAAAGATGTTAAAGGAGTGAATAGCACACATCAAGCTGCTGGAAACAACTCAATGTCAGTGTCATCTCTCTTTCCTAAGGATATCTTAATAGAGAATCCACGTTGGTTTGTTAGACCTCCCAGTGAGGAACATAACAATTCTCTTTCTCCATGTGGAACCAAAAAAATACGTAAAACGAGCCCAGCTCTGTGTTGCAACAACCTGATAGTCCCATGACTGCTGAGCATCACTTGGATGGATGAATAGTTGTACTGGATTGTTCTGGGGTCTACACATTGCTCCAGTGAACTTTATGAATTTGCAGCCTCAGTGTAAGCCATGTTCTCTTCAACAGGTATCATCACCTGCTATCAACTAAATAATGAGGCCAGAAATCACCACTGACCAAGACTGGCCAAGTTTAAAAATGTTCCATAATTCCAACAAAAAATGCCAGTAATATACTTTGCTTTTTATTTATTTATTTATTTATTTATTTATTAGGTTAAACTCAGGCTTAGTGATATAGTTTGTCAGCCAAATTTGACCTGCCACTTGTTCTTATAAATCAAGTTTTACTGAAACACAGCCATGCCTGTTCATTTCTGTGTTGTCTATGACTGATTTGTCTTACAACTGCAGAGCTGAACTGTTAAGACAGACTGTCTGGCTCATGAAAGCCAAAATATTTACTATCTGGCTCTCTACAGAAAATGTTTGCTGACCCCTCATATAACCATCCCATTATCCACAACATGGAATACCTACCTTTCAACTCTACCCTAGAAAATTGAAAATATAACCATATGTCTATGGAAATTCCAGTAGAAAGAAATTATGAGGGATGTTATAAGGCTGTCCTCCAGGTACCCCAACTTCTAGTCACTGTTCATCTGGACATATATTTGACCTCAATCAACTTACTTCTGATCACCTACTCGTGACAGAAATGGATTTATTAAATTACATTTTATTTTATGTCCTCACTTTTATTGCAGGGTCTGCAAGGCACAGTTATAAAATCTATTTTTTGTAGTCACTATAGGAGACTGTATGAAGCTCCACAAGAGACATCTCCTCAAGAGCCAAATGTTGGGAAAGCCTTTCCTCCCCTGAGGAACTAGCGGTTTTTTTGTCTTTCTGACAACAAGAACTTTATAACTAACCATGGTTCCCTTTTCAATATGGCTGCCAGGATACTTTATGCCAAATTTGAGATTAAGCCCAAGCGGATCCTTATGATTTGCATAATTATGAATTTTTCTTCCTCTGTTCTTGACTCTCTACTCTTATTTATATTTTCCCTAGTCTTGATTTCTGTTTCTTATTTATATTCTAACAATTTCATTATGTGTGTGTTTGCTGCCACAAATCCTCTCGAAGAAACAAGGCCTAGAGCAAGTGAATAAAATAAGTTCCCTTTAAAGTCTTAACCCTAAAGTATTGGAATCACTGAATTATATCTTGGTCCTTTTTTAGCTGATAAGCTCTGGGAGGGCAAACCTTTATGTTCCTTGCTCACCATTTATTGATACAGCCTAGGACAAGCCTGGTACACAGTAGGCCCTCCATTGACACTTGTTGAGTGACTGTTATTACATGTCTCACAACTGGTATGAATGCTACCAGAAGGCCTCCTTCCACATTTTACAAGGCCAAATGGAAACACACTCATATTCTCCACTGGTGAACTGGGGCTAACGGATTCAATCTGAAGGTTAATTGTGAAGGATACTGTGTCTGCTCATTCTTCATTTTCAGGGCAAAGATCAGTTTCAGTTAAAAACAATGGAGTTGAACCATGATAAGTTCTTTTCCCCAGTTGGGTGATCTTGTAAAAATAATTAGCTAGCCCATTAACTGCAAAACTTAATACATACTGACATCAGCCAGGAGTCTTTAAAAATAGTGGTACCTGGCTTTCACATAGACATGGTGATTGAGTTTGTATGGGGTGTGACTCGGGCATTAGTTCTGTAAAAGCCCTCCATGCGATTCTAATGTGTAGCCACGTGTGGACACCAGACTAGTAGTCTTTTTTCTCTGGGTCACCTACTTCATGTATCAAGTGACTGACTATCCTACATGTCAGTCTTAAGGAAGATGCCTTTACGAACTGAGGTTTCTGGCATACACTACCAGCAAACTGGGGTCTCAGGAGGCCATAACACAGGGGCCTAATGAAACATCATGCTGCTGAGTCCTGAAAGCCTCCTCCTAGTGCCTCGCCAGCAGCAGAACACCGGAAGCATCTCCTCTTGAGCCTCTGACACTAACTGTTTTTAGCACGATAGCCTAAGGAATTCCTGAAGCAGTACTGAAGGGATCCATGATACCACTGTAACCGCAGCAGCTATAGCAGCTGAAATTTCCATGATGACACAACAGCCACACTCAAAGGGAGAAAGATGCCCTCCTCCATTAGAAGATAATGTTAACTAATGGGATGGGGCATTGCACATCCAGCCTAGGGTTTTTTCCCCCTTGGAGTGACCATAGCTGTATGCCTCAGTGACCAGGGTAGGTTTTCCCACCTTATCTTTGTCCCAATGAAAAAGAATTGTTAAAGAGCCACTCCACCCAGAAATCCTTCAATCTGCTTCCAGCTATCTCTATAGTATTTCTCTTCCTCCCCATATCTGCCCTTTTTTGGTTTGCTGTTGGTGGAAAGTCAGTGTGGAAGTGATACAGGAATAAAAGCAACAAGGAGAGAATGGGACTAGAATTCTGGCTAGCTTTATCAGCCGGTGGTCTTGAGTAAGTCACTTAGGCTCTCAAACCTTTAGTTTCCTAAAAAGTGGATGAAATAATACAGCCTGGCTTACTGCGCTGTTGTATCAGATCA